TCAAGGAGCAAAAATAATAAATTATTGCAAAGTACAGAAGGTCCAAGAAGGTTTGGCCTTGTGTTTGCCCATTCATTTTTAAGATGAGTGGAATTTGAATATATGTACCTTATCACACTCAGTAACTTCACAAGCTGCCTGTAGATAAAGAGTATATATATCACACATAAAGGAGGAACCTCACACATCCTGAAGGAGATTTAGATCTCTCTCTCTCTCTCTCTCTCTCTCTCTCTCTCTCTTTCTCTCCCTCTCCTCTCTCTCTTTCTCTCTCCAGTTGGAACAGCTTCTCACAGGTGTAATAAAATCACCTGTGTAATTTACTTTCTCAGTCCAGTGAAAAGTCACCTCCTTGGTGATGCTTCATGACACCATCAATGTATTTCCAAGAGAAGTACACATGATGTACCTTTATCACCCAGAAATTCCAAGGATGGTTTTGTCAGGGACTGCAAAAACTTCTTAGGAATTTAAATGAACATAGCTAGAACTGTTTGCATGACTCAAAAAACAAGGTATATTCCTGTTAATCATCTACTAGTCAATGTGTCCTTTTCCCCGTGCTGCTAGTTGGAGATAGTCTTGTGACCTTTGTGCTGTCTTGTTAATCTTAAAATTTGAAGTTTCGCTGTTTCTTCAATAAAAGTCTTAAACAAAACAGCTTAAAAAATGTTCTCTAACTTTCCACACAAAACAACATGCTCATAGACAACATTGATTTACACCTACCATTGTAAGACAGATGTTTGGGACATTCTATTTTCAATGCCACAAAATGGGAAGCATATGTCTATTATAACCATTTCCTAATTCTTTGCAACACCAGATTTACAGCAGAAAACGATTGTTTTTCCACAGAAATCTCTGAGTATATGTATCTATCATCTATATGCTTTAACTCTTTTGCATATTATATTGCTAAATAGTCTTAGATCTCTACATAGAGGAAATAATTTCCTTGGACAGAACACACAAGATGTTCAGAGTTTTCTCCTCCATTTTTTTTTCCTGACCTTCTTCAAAATTTGCATTTTTCTCAGTAGATATCACTCCTCCTCGTGTGATGACAGAAATTTAGGTCAGAAAGCTGGTAAATAGCAAGATTTTTCCTCAATAACTCATTTTTCAGCTATTATACACACAGTGCACTATTGTGTAATAGATACAGAATGGCTCTGAAATCCAACAGCCTTGAAGAAATCTTGGTTCCATAATTTTTTACTAGCTATGTAACATTCAGCAAATTACTTAACCTTTCTGTGCTTCAGTCCTTCCCTTGGTAAAATAGTGGTGCCCACCTCAGAGTGCTGTGAGCTTTTTAAATGAGAGAAATACTGGTAAACCACTTGTACCCATGCCTGGAATACATAAGTACATCTTAGCTGTTAGAACTCTCTATGGCACAGAAAAGGTACTCTATTTTATTCATTTTTAGAATTTACTAATATTTTAAATTACTGGAAAATGAAGACATATGATAATTGTGATTACATAAAGAAGAAGAAGACTAGTATTCGGGAATGAGTGAAGGTTTAAGGCTGAATAAATCTGAATATGGACTTTCATTCTGACACTTGGTGTTGTGTAACTAACCTTGGGCTATTTGTTTAATCCCCAATTTCCTCATGTATAAAATAGTTACCTTACATATTTATTATTAAAATAAGAGAATATATGTCAAAGACTTTGTAATAAGTACTAAATAAATGGAAAGATGTTAGGGCTTTTGGCATTAAGTTTCTTGCTATACTTCTTAAGTATATGCTTACCACAAATGCAAGTCTGTATGTATAAAAAAAAGAGAGAGAGAGAAAGAGAGAGGGAAAGGGAGGGAGAAAGAGAAAAAGAACAGAAGGAAAGGAAGGAAGGAAGGAAACAAAGAAAGAGAGAGAAAGAAAGAAAGAAAGAAAGAAAGAAAGAAAGAAAGAAAGAAAGAGAAAGAGAGAGAATAGCTATAAAGCAAAGCTTACTGCTTTATCTCGTTCCTAAGTTGTTAGGGAAGAAATAAACCCTGAAAATTTTAAGAAGAGAGTGTTGACTGTTTTTTATTACTGTATGAAACAAAATATTGGAAGTTTGTTCTCATTTGTAGCACACATAGATGTTGAATTGTAACATCTTTAGTAGATTTTCTGCTGGATTTAGAGAGAAACTTTAGATAATATATTTATCAATTTAAAACAATGAGTGAAAAACTACAGATGCATAAGATGTATTCCCAGATGTCAACATTGTTATTTTTAAAACTGAACTTTTAGTGCCTTTAAAAGGCTATTTTCTGAATTTTGGCAGAATAAAATCCAAACTTCCCAGCCAAATAAGCATCAAAGAACTCCACAGAAAAAGAGTCAGTATTCTCCGTTCATAACCAATCTCATAGCCAGTCTTCAAACTTTGTTATTAAAATGCTAAAATACCTTCAAAATCATTATTATCACTTCATGAGCTAGAATTCACAATGATGTAAGTAACAGAAAACTCAGCTAACAGTGATTAAACATGCATTTTTCTCACATTAAACAAATCATAAAGAAGATGCTTCTGTTATTGGGTCAGTGGTTCAATGATTTCATCCCTCTTGTCTCTGAATCTTTCAACCTTTCCCTCATGAATGATTATCTAATGATCAAAAGATGACTCTTAGATTAGTAAAGAGCATGTCCAAGTTCATGATAGGAAAAAGGAGTGATTGGCAATTCCAGCTGTCTTCCTCTTTCATCAAACAACAGCAGCAACAACAAAAACAACAACAAAGCCTTCCTAGAGACTCTAGAAGGCTTCTTAAAAAGTGGGAGAGGTATTTAATTTTCCATCCCCTAAAATGGAAATGACAAGAGAAAATGGGGGTATGAATGTCTGTTGAGTTAACAAACAATGTTTGACACACCATTGAGAAGCTGCTTGTTCGAAAGTCCGCAGTCGACTAGATAGAACCGTTACCTACATTAATTTTCCTGCCCTTAGAAGATGCATTTTCTAATTTTGCTTTCAATGTATTTGAATTTTAATATTAGTTCAGTCAACCTTTTTTCCTAAAAGGAAATTAATTCCATTAATGCTAGATCTGATATCAGGTGTTGAATAGTTTGGTTTGTTGTTGTGTTATTGTTTCTAGCAGGGCTGAAAATATTCTCTTTGGTAGCAGTGTTTATTGCTTGGCATGTGATGGTTTTGCACTGCTGAATCCATACATAAATTATTTTACAGATAGGGAGGTAAAACATGTGTTCTTATTGTCAAATTCTTAGCCTAATGTTTTCAAAATAATTCTCCAAGTGTTCTGGAGTCTCACATAATTTCAACATGCAACACTAATTTTTCTTTCCCTTTTATGAAATCAGTAGACCATTAAAACTATTTAGTGATATTCATCCCATCTGGGAACATTGGAGTGACATTTGCTTTGGCTTTTCCTACATTTTTTTTTCATAGGTTGATCATTTTTGCCAAGCTACCACCTTATATTAATATATTTTAGAGGCATTGTTTTTCTTTCTCTTTCTCTTTCTCTTTCTCTTTTTTCTTTCTCTTTCTCTTTCTCTTTCTCTTTCTCTTTCTCTTTCTCTTTCTCTTTCTCTTTCCCTCCCTTTCTCTTTTGAGAAGAACCAATACAATGTCATTCTTTTTTGGAAAGAAGAAAAGTTTACAGCACATTTTGAGTAAATTAGTGTAAAGAAAGGCTCAGTGGGCTAACTGGTAGAACACCAGCTTATAATGGAGTCCACAGCTAGGGCATCACTGGGTCTCACCTTTGTGCAACTTGACCCAGATGATAGCACTGTTGTCCTCTTCGCACATACAGCCCACTATTTGATTATTGGTGACAGAAGGAACAATATTAGGGTCTTCCTTGGTGCCCAACACGGTCTTTGGGGCTAGTATATTTTATGGGTCCAGTCCCCTCCATGCAACCATCATGGCCTCCCATTTCCAGCCCAGTCACCTGTTCATCATCAGTAGGAACACCACTTCCAGATGCCTTGGAACACACAACAGTGACTCCATTGGGACTGTGGGCCCTGACGGCCTACACGAACAGCGCTCCAACTCCATGACTTAATCCTGAAGTGATCACACCAACTACAAATAGCTAGAGGAATTGTTTCTTAATCAGTGGGGTAGCAAGGGTAAATCATGGATGTTCAGCTCCAAATGCATGCAGCAAGGAATTCATCCCTTGTAGTTATTTTAAAATCAGTAATAAAATTGATCAAAATTGGCCTGCTTTTTATTACCACCATGTGTTGGCAGTTCTAGACAATGTGTGATGAAATATTCCTTCCTGTTAGGGTAAACCACCATGATCCCACCTCCTCACTTCTGGTATGCACTGCTTCATAGTTTAGATTTTTCCCTTTCAAATAAATTAACAGTTTAAGGTTTTAAAAGGCAAACAATGCCTGAAATATTTTATGTGGATGAAAATTCTGGGCGTTTTTTCCTGGTTTTATCATCTTGATTATAATCATGGCATCATCACTTGATTGAAAACAAAAGGTGAACAAATAAATGAATAATATTTAAATTAAATGAAAATTGGATGTAAAGTTACAACTGTAACAACAGTAGAATTTGACTATTCTCTGCAGAATATTTCTGCTTTTCAATACAATTCCTTTTCCAAAATAGAAGAAAAAGAAAAGAAAACCCAAAACTAAAGTTATATTTATTGCAGTGTTTCTTACATCCAAGTGGATATCTCCAACTTTATATTTCTATTTGGTTTGGGGGTTAAATATGGAATATAGGGGGAAAGAACAGCATACAACAAATCCTTTCCATTTGAAGAATTGTATATAATGGATTTGATTCTGTAAAAATGTGAAGTACCAATTGTTACATGCTTGCCAGCATTTAAATCTTTGTTTTTCCTTAACATTGAGGGTTTTTTGTTTTTTGGGGGTTTTTTTGTTTTGTTTTGTTTTGTGTTTTGTTTTTTTGTTTTCAGGTAACAAAATGAAATGATTCTTCACATTCATTGTAATCCTTTATTCCTCCAGGCATTTTTGGACAGAAACTTGAAGACACTGTCCGTTATGAGAAGAGATATGGGAACCGTCTGGCTCCAATGTTGGTGGAGCAGTGTGTGGACTTTATCCGACAAAGGGGGCTGAAGGAAGAGGGTCTGTTCCGACTGCCAGGCCAGGCTAACCTCGTTAAGGAGCTCCAGGATGCCTTTGACTGTGGAGAGAAGCCATCATTTGACAGGTAGCTTTCAAGATTTTCCTAATCATCCTTCACTGAGAAATCCAAACCGAACAGAAGAGATGCAATGAGCTGAGAGGATATAACCTTAATGGATGTTGTAATAGTTTAGAATATGGATTTTATAGCCACACAAGGGTTGATTGTTTTTATTAATTTAGAGAGTCAAAAATTTGACACTTTAGATGTCTTTCTCTTCCATACTTTTTGTCCCCCTTAAAACATTATTTATTCTTTTCCTTTGGAACTAAATTAACACTCTATTAAGCTTTTGCATCAGAAAAGTGAATTTTTAAAATAGGAGTCTTTCCTGTTCAGTGTCTTCCTAATTCTCTCAGCTAAGGGATATTAAAAGTATTAATAAACAGAGATTGGGATATTAGCAATGTAGTTACAATAACTGTTTTTAATAATAATGAAAGCATCATATTTTTAAATATATATCTCCACCTTAATCTAGAATAGATTTATAAGGAAACAAGAAACATATAGCATGATGAAATTCAGGAAATAATGAAAGTTCCAGAAAAGAAAATATAAAGCATCCATAACTCCACTAAGAATTAAACACTTATGATAATATTTTATAAATTACCTCCTTCTCTTCACTTTTTTTAATTTAATAGAAAATAATATTTTTTCTCCTAATATTATTAATGTGGTATAGTATAGCTGATATTTTCATATTAATATTTGAAATATCCCCAACATTCTAGTATAGTTTAACCTAATGTTTGATGATTGGCAACCTCTATAAGCATAATTTTTCACATCTAATATTTCATTCTACATGTATATTATTCATAATTATTTCAACAATTTGGATATTTATATGATCACTTTTATCACTTATATCACTTATATTTATATTATAAATAGTGTTGTAGGGGGTATACATTCACGTTAGTATTTTCTATATTTTGATAATTTCCTCAGGGGAGGTTCTCAGTATTAGACTTTTTGGATAAGAACAGTCATATTATTTGAAAACTGACAATTGCATACTATTATTTCTTTGAAATCATAGAATTAGCACATGGATAGAGCCAGATCTACAGAACAAGTAGACAAGAAGACACTTGAATACATGATACGAGACAAAGGGAGCATTATTGGAAATATGGGCTTTTGCTAATAATCTAAGAAATGCACATTAAATCATTTAATGTCCTCCCACTAATCACATTAACAAAATCTTGAACAATGATAATACTCAGTACTGGCAAGGTATGTTAAGGTAGGCACTCTGATGGCGAGAGAGCAAATTGTTGTAGTCTTTCTAAAGAAATTTGATGATATATTTCAAGACCGTTTTAGCAAGATATTCTAGTCTTAGAAAAAAATCAGATCTGTGGAAAAAAACAAGTATAAAGTTGCTTATTACAATTTTTATAATAGTAAAAAATGAACACCAATCCATTATCTCCAGAAGTAGAGTATGGTCAATTAAATAATACTGCATTAATATAACAAAATGTTATACAATTATGAAAGTTTTAGAAAAATGCTAATTATAAAATAATAAGTGGAAATGATAAATGGAAAAATAAGACAGGATCAATTAATTGATTAAAATCCTACCTGTTTACAGAAGTATTACAGTTTATAGACATTCATAAATTATCTCTGAGAGATAAAAATTAAATGTGGAGGCAAATAAATGAATTCAAAACCAAAATCAGAGAACAAATTTCAAGAATACAGATATACTTTTGGCAGGGGTGCCCAATGTCTTATTCTATACTTTGAAAAACAACACTAAATAATAGTTGCAAATTCAAGTCTATTCACAGGATATACACAATGGTTTATCTAGAAGAAATGTAATTTTTTAGCTTCAAAATTAAAAGAAATTTGTCAGTGGGATCCTCATAATAAAATATCATATAATGGGATAAATAAAACCTTTTACCATAAACTTCATGTGACATTGATAAATTTCAATGGCTTTTTCTTATATATGGCCAAAAACCACAGATGACATTATAGAAAAGTATATTTACTAAAAATTATTTTGCTATAGGCATTTATGCTTTTGGTTCTTATAACAAGATTCTCACTAATAAGAAAGAATGGAAGGATATTTTATAAATTTTAGGATACCTGTAAGAAAAGGTATGCTCTGTGAGCAATTATCTCCAAATCAGGTTCTTAATTATCTCCAAATCAGGTTCTTAATAGCTGAGCTGACAGTGAAATATTGTGCAATCTTTATGTAAAATATCATCTCACTTATAAAAAGTATTTTTTGTATAAAATGCACTAATGCATAAACAGACTGATGAAAATGTGACAAAAGATGAACATTGATTTTGTGGGATAATGACTTTTTTTTAAATATTGTGATTCCAGTAAGCACCGTTTTACAATCAGAAATTTAACCTGAACGGTCTTTTAATTACCTGTTGATATCATGCTGCATAAAAATGTCCTTAACTTTTAACTTCTAAAGAGTAATTATGGAAGCTACCTGTCAACTAGAAAAGCTATAGAAGAGAATTGCATAGAGTATTTCAATGTTAGCACAATACGGTAATGTTGCTAGCATCCTAGGAGGAAAAGGAGAGTGTCATTCATTTGCTCAGTCATTCAGTGTTTCCGGTTTTTACACTTGTATAACAAACCACCCCCAAACTTTGTGACTTAAGTAATAACAGCTGGTTATTGCTCATGGTTCTGTACTTTGGGCAGGGGTTGGCCAGGATGTGCTCATTTTTCCTGCACATGATGTTGATTCATGGAGATCAGTTAGGTCTGAAGGATACAAGATGGTTCTACTCAGATGTGCAGAGCCTTGTCTGACATGGCTAACATGGCTGAAGTCCACTTGGGCCTTTCTCTCTCCCTCTATCTCTCTCTGTAAATCTCACATCTATTATTAGAGCTGCTCTTTATATGTATGGCCTTTACCTCTAGCCGATTAGTCAGACCTATTGACATGATACCTCAGGGTTCCAAGAAAATAAAAATGGCAGTTTGTAAGCCTCACAAGGGCTGGATCCATATGACACTGTGTGACTTCTGGTGTAGTCTCTTGGTCAAAGCGAGTCACAAAACAGGCCAGCCTACATTTGAGGAGAAGGAAAATAAACACCATTTGATGGAAAGAGGGGTAAGCACATACAGAGAAGGAAGGATTTGTAGGAGGCTATTTTGAGAGAAAATCACTATAGCTTTAAAGTCTTGAGGGATACCTGGGTGGCTCAGTCCATTAAGCGTCTGACTTTGGCTCAGGTCATGATCTCATGGTTCGTGAGTTTGAGCCCCTCATCGGGCTCTGTGATGACAGCTCGGAGCCTGGAGCCTGCTTGGGATTCTATGTCTCCCTCTCTCTCAGCCTCTCCCCTGCCAGTGCTCTCTCTCGCTCTCTCTCTCTCGCTCTCTCTCTCTCTCTCAAGAATAAAGATTAAAATTTAACAAAATCTTGAAATCAAGTGGAACAAATCCCCTAATTTTGTTCTTTTTCAAATTTGTTTTGCCTATTCTAGGTCATTTACATCTTCATTTTAAAAAGATAAAGAAATTTAGCATATGCTTGTCAATGTCTACAAAAAAAAGTATGTTAGGATTTTGACTGAAATTTTATTGAATCCAGAAATCAACTGGGAGAAAATTGACATCTTAAAACTATGAAATCTTCTAATCCATAAAAATGGCCAATCTCTCCATTTCATTAGGACTTTTTGTATTTCAGCAACATTTTGTATTTTTTGATGTAAGATCTTGCTCCATTTTGTTAAATTTATCCTCAAGTATTTGCTATTTATAGATGCTCCTGTAAATAGTATTGTTTTTAATATTTAATTTTATAATTGCTCACTGCTAGATTATCCAAATACAATTGATTTTTTTATGTATAGATTTTTGTCCTACCAACTTGGCAAGTTCATTTATTAGTGCTAGCAGGATTTTTGTAGATCGCTTAGGATTTTCTACATACATAATCTTATTAACTGTACATAATGAGAGTTTTATTTCTTCCTTTGCAATATGTAGGCCTTGTATTTCTTTTTCTCACCTGCTTGTACTTGCTAAGAATTCATCTACCATAATAGTAGGTATACATACTCTTTTTGTATGTAGATGGAAGTTTTCAGTCTTTCACTACTATGTGTGATGGTAGCTATAGGTTTTTTCCTGATGACCTTTATGAAGTTAGAAAATGTCCTTTTATTTCCACTTTGGCTACAATTTTAATAACAAATGAGGATCATATTTTATTTATTTTTTTTTTTAATTTTTTTTTTTTCAACGTTTATTTATTTTTGGGACAGAGAGAGACAGAGCATGAACGGGGGAGGGGCAGAGAGAGAGGGAGACACAGAATCGGAAACAGGCTCCAGGCTCTGAGCCATCAGCCCAGAGCCTGATGCGGGGCTCGAACTCACGGACCGCGAGATCGTGACCTGGCTGAAGTCGGACGCTTAACCGACTGCGCCACCCAGGCGCCCCAAGGATCATATTTTATAAAATCCATTTATTACAGAAATTATCTGATTCTTCCCTTTTGTTATGTTAATGTCCTGAATTACATTAATCTATTTTTGAATGTTAAACCAACTTTACATTGCTAGGATAAGCCACATTTGGTTATGATGCATTACCCTTTTTATATATTGCTGTATCTGACTTGCAAATAATTTGTTAAGGATTTGAGGACCTATATTCATCAAGGGTTTTGACCTGTAGATTTCTTATAGTATCTTTGACTAGTTTTGTTATCAGAGAAATTCTGGTCCCCATATTAGTTGGAAAGTGTCCCCCCTACCTCTATTTTCTGAAAGAGTATGTGTGTTTTGTATTATTCCCTCCATAAATATTTGGTAAAATTTACCAGTGATGTCATCTAGTCCTGATGTTGTCTTTGTGGGGAAGTTTTTAGAGATGGCTTTTCTTGGGGTGACTGGATGGCTCAGTCGATTAAGCGTCCAACTTTGGCTCAGGTCATGATGTCACAGTTTGTGAATTCGAGGCCCGTGTCAGGCTTTGTGCTGACAGCTCAA